CTCAGCCTCTCATGTAGCTGGGATTACAGGCACATGTCACCACTCCTGGCTAATTTTTATATGTTTTAGCAGAGACAGGGTTTCACCATGTTTGCCAGGCTGGTCTCGAACTCCTGGCCTCAAGTGATCTACCCCTCTTTGGCCTCCCAAAGTGCTGGGATAATAGGCGTGAGCCTCCGTGAGCCACTGTACCCGGCCCCAAGCTGCTACTTCTATGTGGATGCCTGGGAGGCAGCGTGGCATCTGGGAAATATCCCTCAGGGGCTCTATTTGGCATTTTATTCTGGGGATTTCCATCTCATCCCCTTCCCTTTTCTCTCTGCTTTGGTTTCTTTTCCTTTCTGCTCTCTCTCTCTTGCTGGGCTTACACAGTGTCTCTCTCTTTCTCCAGAACATCAGGGTTACACCCTTGGGGTCAATCCTAGGCTCTTCCCAACTAGGCTCTGATGAGCAGACTGTGGGAAGACTTAGTTATGGTTTTTTGTCACGTGGTGAGAAAAGGTAAGCACACGCCCCCAAATATCCTGACACAAGCTGTGAGTGCTCAGTCACCAAACCCATTTTAAACCAGTTATATTTCCATTCTCAGGGTAAAGGGTTTCCTGAAGTTTCTACATGCTCTAAGTTTCTACCCTTGAGGCTGATTTACTAGTCCAGTGAGATCAAGGAAATGAAAGTCATTTTATACAGCAGCAGGTAAACAAACGCATATACAAACCAGCCTTCAGAGTGGGAGAACGAAGGCGCGCATGAAAGAGGAATAAGGTTTCTATCATTACAAAGGCATTCATGGCTAAGACAGTGGTATTCACAGTTACACAAGGTCCAGAGTGTTACAATTTGAAACCTGAAAGACCTAAATTTAGGGGCAAAAAGATCAAGTAACATTCAGGTGAGTATGGTTCAGGGAAAAAGCACAGATCTTACAAGTGCTGGGGAAGGCCCCAGCTGTGAGGCTGGCCTGTCAGATTTCTCCTCTCGGTCCCATCTCCTCAGCCCTCCTCAGCCCTCCGTGCCTGCCTCACGGGGATGCTGTGAGGCGCAGAGCAGAGGGCTTCTGTGGAAGCTGAAGGCACTCGCTACACCATCGGTCCTTTTGTTGCCGAGAGTCACTGCTATTATTGAGGAACAGGAGGCCTGTCACAAGCCATGATAGGAAGTGAAACACAGGCAGAGACAGGAAGGTGAGAACTGTCCTGAATTTCGAGATTAGTATCCTAGGAACCAGTCCTGCATTCACCACACAGGTCCCTTGGTACCATTTGCTCAAGGACAAGTCTAGATTGGCAGAGTCTTTGTTCTGAACCACGAGGACTGTTCTGACATTTATTGACTTCCAGGAGACTGCTCATTTATGGTTTGTGAAGGACAGCTAAGCAGTCATGTGCATGCATAAATGAAGCTTACAGAGTTGGAGACTGATGGGGTCACCAGGGGTGCCCTGGCCCATCGGTCTCACGTGGCTGCATTGAGATCCCTGAGTATTTCCTGAAGCCCCTTCTTGATCTGTGGATGCGATACAGGAGGTGGAAGAGGAGCAGGGATCCTCCCTTTTGGTTTTGAGCACGTGCTGTTGGCTTCAGCCTTTGGTCCTAGATTCTGGGCGCACCCATTGTTCTCAGCCATTCAGGAGCCATGCCCTGTGGAATCTGGATCTTAGATTTTCCCCTAAACTCCTGATTTTTCTCCTTCTTACTGTGTTTATGGATAACATTTGCTCACCAGGTCCAAATTCATTGCACATGGTGACTCCTAGTTTTGGGTACCTCCCTCTCCCCACCCACCCCACCCAGCTGAGAACCATAATCACTGCTGTCATCTTTTGAGGGCACTGGGAGACTTGTTCACGCCTGAGTTTAGATCAATTACCAAATCTGCATAAGAGCATTTACAGTGTGAGTTGCTACTGGTTTTGTTTAAGATCATTTTAGTGTATCCACAAAGTTATGCTTTTTTCAGTAAAATGTTTCCATTTCAGTGTTTATAAGTGCCTTTGTTATCTGTGAATTGGAAAAATGAGCAAGGAATCTGTTTATGTGTTATTAGCCTCTGATTCCAAACAGTTGCCCAAGAATGCAGTAGGATCCTGGGCTATCAGCAGAGATCTCTGTATCAGTGCTCAGTCAGGAAAACAGGAATGACTCCAGTCATTTTAAACAGGGAATCTCATCCAAAGGGCTGATCAGAGGCATCAGAAGGGCTGAAGGAGCAGAGAGTGTCCAGTAAGGTTGGCCAAAGGTTAGTAACTGCTGGAAACTGCTGTTCCTGCTAGGACTGGAGGATGAGGGCTCATGACCACAAGCCCCAGGAGTTGAAACCAAGAATTTCACACTCACTTAGAAGCGTCATCTATTGCTTCTGCCTGCATTCCATGGGTTAGAACTCAGTCACACAGCCACATCTAGCTGCAAAGAGGCTAGGAGTCTACCTGAGTGGTGACCAGAGGAAAAGGACTAGGCTTGTGAACAATGAGTCTGTGCTACATATGGGCACGGAGTCACTGTTGTTAGGAGAGAACAGTCATCTTTTTGTAGAGGTATGCTTCAAGATGTGTGTGTGCATGTGTATGTGTGTGCATGTGTATGTGTGTGCATGTATGTGTGTATCTGTGTGTGTACGTGTATGTGTGCGCGTGTGTGTGTCTCTGTACGTGCGTGTGTGTCTGTGTGTGTGTGCATGTGTATGTGTGTTTTATGCATGCGTGTGTGTATACACACACACCTGCCCTGGCACAATAAGACAGTAGTGTTTTTAAGCTGAGTTCTCCTACCTCCCGCCTTCTGTTCCACTCTCACTCCCTTCCCATGCCGTCCCTGGCCCTCCCAATGGCCCCTCAGCTGATTTCTGTGTGTTCTGTTTGCAGGGGGCCCTGGCTCAGCCTCAGCCCTGGTGGAGGAGCCAGCTGTTCGTGTGGGAGCCCGTGCTGTTTGGGACCTGGGATGGTGTGTTCACATCCTGCATGATCAACATCTTTGGGGTTGTGCTCTTCCTGAGGACTGGCTGGCTGGTGGTGAGTGCTGAGTTAGTGGTCTGGAGCCTCTGACAGGCCCGAGACGGGAAAGCTCTGCCACTCTTGGCATTCTGCAGTGCAGGCCACAGATTCCTGAAGCACAGATGCTCCTAGAACGAAACAGAAGCAAGCACAGCTAATAGCTAGAATTGCTTGTTAAATGAGCATCCTGCAAACATAGGCTTCGGAAGTTCTGATGGAAGCCTCACACCACAGATTTAACTATGGAATAGGAGGACAGAAGTCAGGGCTCATCGTGGGCAGGACTCAAGGTGGGTCAGAGATCAGACTGATGGCAATTTTGCCTCCAGTTTGTGGCCCCCTGCAGTTTTCCTGGTATTCTTCACCTCATCTTGGGCCCATCCACACGGTTGCCTTCCCTCACTGCACTGCGACCCTGTGAGTAAGACTGTGCGTGGGGCTGCTTGGTCAGAGGTGTGGGCCGCCTACCTCTAGGGATGGATTGCCTAGGACGGACTCTGCTGTGTGAGATCCTGGGTGTCAGTTCATCTCCCTCTGTAGAAGGAACAAAGGGCCCCTTCTTTAAGTCTTATGCAAAAGCATCCTAGGACCTTCCAAGCAGATGTGTGTCTGGAGCAGGGGTTCTCAGTCTCACACACACTGCCATCTTATGCAGTGGGACTTCAGTAGTCCACACAGGTGCTCCGAATAAAAGGCAAGCCAGTCACCATGTAAACATTGTAAGCACCTGCTGTGTGCCAAGCACTATTTAGTGCGAAGGGGATTATGAAAAACAAGACATGACCCTGGCCCTCATCCCCTCCTCTCCTCCCCACAACCATGAGCTAACAGCCATGGCGGGTAGGTGTCATGTTAGGAGAGGTCTCAAAGCAGCACTAAGTCCCTCAGGGGTGGAACGAACTATGAGTGCTACAGTCACTGAGGTGTCCAGGAAGGCTTCCTGGAGGAGATGCAGTTGAGCCAGGCCTTGAAGGGTGAGCTAGATTAGATGGGTGAAAGTGAGGAGGCCATGTAGGGTGTAGAATCTCCTAGTCGGGATTCTCCAGAGAAACAGGCCAATGCCAACAGGAGCTGTCAGTATGTGAGGTATATATTAACAGGTAAGGAGTGATGCTGTAGCCTCGAGTCTGAAGGCTGGAAACTCAGGAATAATTTCTTTTTTTTTTTTTTTTGAGACGGACTTTCGCTCTTGTT